AGACTCCCAACCTCAGGCTTTTTTTCGCAATGCCCTCCCTTCTCCAGGGCTTTGCTTTTTCTTCTACTCTTCCAATTCTACCCACCCCGCTAAGATAGAGCCTCTGGCCCAAGCCTCTGTTCCCACCGTGGATGTTGGCACTTGACTACTGTCCCCAGGCTCCCTTGGCATTCCTTTCATAGAGCTGAAGCCAGGGAGGTGAGGGCGGGTCTGGGGCAAGCCTCTGAATGTGTGGGAATGCATCCCCCACCCCAGGAATCAGGCCTGGTTGCTGCTGGCATGCTTGCTGAGGACCCTTTGGCAGCCTTCCACAATTAGAGAAAGGCAAGGCAGCCAAGACAAGACAGAGGCTAATTACCTTGGGTAATAGGAAATTGGAGAGCAGCTACAAGAAGGGTGTCTGGGCCTCTGGCCAGGCAAGGGCAGGGACCATGGATGCCCAGCCAGGCCTGAGCCATTGGCCCTGAGTGGAGACTCCTGCTCAGGGTCACCCCTCAATTCCAACAACCCACCCACGGCAGCAGGAGCTGGCCCTGCTGTCAGACCTTCCTGGGACCCTCTCCCTCTGCTGCTCTTGTTTGTTTTCATTCAAAAGCAAAACAAATGAAACAAACAAGGAAATTCAATTTAAACAGGGCACGGGTGCTGATGTTTCTGTTTTGTTACACCAGGGTGAGCTTAGGACAGAAAATCAGCCTTGACTTTCACTCGTTCAATTATTCTTACCCTGTGGCGCTGTGTAAAGTTACATGGATGGAGGGGCTAAAGAAAAAATTTGCCTTCCTAGGTGGGGTGGAGAGAGGGAGTTGGGGTTGGAGTGGGGCCAGAGAGAGGGAGAGAGGCCAAATTTCCAAAAAAAATAGGACCAAGAAACTGAGATACACTTATAGCAACATAAACTAAAATAATGAATAAAAAGACAAAAAAAGGAATGGTAGGGAGAATGACAGACAGACAAAGACAGGAAGCCATACAGAAAATACTTACATGGCGAGGGAATAAAAGACAAAGAGAAACAGGCAGAGACACAGAGAGGCACAGTAGTGCAAAATAGATGTGAGAGAGCTAGAAAAGCTGGAAGGGCAGAAGCTCAGGAGAAGGAGAGAGGGGATGAAAATAAATCCCATGACAGAACTCATGAGCTAGAATCTCATGCACCTTGATTTTAAAGACGCTGACAGTGCAGAACAGGGAAGGAATCTGAACATTTAATTCAAGGTCCTAGAGGCAGAACTAATAGCAGGGCATGAGCCCAGATTCTCTGGTGGAGAGACTAGTCCTCCACTCTCCTGCCACCTGAATCCTTTAGAAGCATGGGTGCAGAATTTGGTGTCTGACTGTGCTTAACTACAACTTGGGCCATTCTGAGACCTCTCTCCTCTGCATCAATCCTCTCCTCTCATTCCATTTCTCCCAAAAGGATTCTGGATGGTCGTTCCTTCCAAGGATAGTGGGACTGCAACTTGCCTGATAAGGGCCAGTTCCTCCAGAGCTGTGCTTAGAAAAGACACTGATAACCAGGGATTGAGAAGAGTCAGGGGAGAAGAAGAAAGTGGCTAACACTTCCTGCAGGCTGCCTACATGCCAAGAATTCAGGTAAGCCTTGTTTGCGGAGTTTTCAGTCAACCCTCTTCCTTACAACCCTTTGAGATAGGGACAATCATCAGCCTCTTTTTCCAGAGGTAGAAATTGTCTCATAGAGCAGTGAAAAACCTGCCTCGGGGCAGGTTATGAGCATGCGTCAGAATCAGGGTTCACACCCAGCCCTGCCTGTCCCCAAGGCCTGTGCTATTTCTACTGCCACACACAGTCTTTTTGGCTCAAGAGGAAGAAGAATTTGGGTAAAAAATGAGCAAGCAGAAAATGAGAATCCCTAAGAACTGACACTGGAACTATTTTAAAACTCCAGACCGAGCTGGTCAGACTCCATGGGAGGAGAGCCGCCAATGGGATAAGAGACCATTCCAAACAACACCCTGGTTCCTGGTCAGAGCGGCCTGGATCCCAGGGCCATTAACATCATCCATTTCAAAAATACATAAATAAAATAGAGAAGTGTTCAGAGTTAGAGATGACAAGCTCCTGACAAGCACATTTCCAGGACAGAGGAAGAAGGAATGTGCCATACTTTAAGAGGTGGAAAGGAGGGGTGGTGTCAGGCAGTGAGGAAAAGAAGGGGCAAAGGAAAGTGTTCATCACTTTTAAAGAATGTCAGCTGATTTGTCAGCTCTCAGTGTTAATTGCTTTTGGGATTCCATAAAACATTTCATTGCTCTCTACATAATGGGGCTGCAGGATTCCAGCCCAGATGACATCAAGCCCCTACAGTGTCACCCAGAGACAGGGTTACTCCTTCTGTATTAGTGAATAGGAATCACCCAACAGGACACCATCCTTCTCTGCCAGATGCTGTATCTTCTATCATTTGGTAGATGGATGGGAGAAAGTTGAAATTATTACAAGGGCAACAACAGCAACATTGATAATAGCTAACATTTCTTAGGCTTCTACTGGAACCTCATCACTAGATAGCTTTTGTCTATGATCCCATTGAGTCCTCCTGGGGTCCCAGTGGGCCAAACACCATATTATCCACATTTTCAAAGAGAAGGAATTGGAGACTCAGAGGGTTAGGCAGCTCACTCAGTGTCACAGAGCTGATAAAGGACAGGGTCAGGATTTGAATCCAGGTCTGTGTGTCTTTAGTCTATAACCCTAAGGAGGGGAGAAACCGGAAGCCATCTATCAGAAAATCTTTTGAAAATGCCATTCACTTTCTTCACAGAATTATAGTTTTCAGAGTTAGAGAGGACTTAATCTCTCTTAATGTAGTCACATACTTGTGTTTCACTTCACACATGTCATTATCCCAGAGCCCAAGGTGTTGGTGAGTGCTTATTGATTAAGAGTGTCTAGAGTTGTGCTCTCAAAGTCAGATCCCAATCCCCCTACTCATCATGAGGATGGTGGTCATTCTTTTTTTTTTTTTTTTGAGATGGAGTCTTGCTCTGTCGCCCAGGCTGGAGTGCAGTGGCGCGATCTCCGCTCACTGCAAGCTCCGACCCCCCGGGTTCATGCCATTCTCCTGCTTCAGCCTCCCGAGTAGCTAGGACTACAGGCGCCTGCCACCTCGCCCGGCTAGTTTTTTTGTATTTTTTAGTAGAGACGGGGTTTCACCGTGTTAGCCAGGATGGTCTCGATCTCCTGGCCTCGTGATCCGCCCGCCTCGGCCTCCCAAAGTGCTGGGATTACAGGCGATGGTGGTCATTCTTTAAGGCCTAAGGTACATCCTAAAACTTTAGTAAAATTTGCCCAGATGTCCCACTGGAAGACGTAGAATTGCATATTTACTTTGAGGATTTCATTCCTAGAACATTCACTGCCCCCCAAGTGACTTAAGATAAAGCTTGGGTCCCAACATCTCAGAGATAGTAGGTTGCAGAGTCAGGGGCAGAAGACTCAATTGCCAGCTTTTTTGACATTCTTGAGTTTGGTGACCCAACACATTGGTTGTTACCAAGGAGCCTGAATATATCAAGTGTTCAAAAGGGTGAGGAAGAGGGAGGGAGAGGAAGGAGAAGATGGGTTGTGTTTTGAGGTGAGCAAGGTTCACAGATTGTGGAGGGACTAACACTTATTGCGCACATGCTTGGAGATACCAAGCCAGGGTGTTTCTCATTTAATTATCACACATTTCTACAAGGTGGGTTTTATTATTTGTTTTACAAAGGCTTTATAAGAGACTTAGGGGGTAAAGCAACTTATCTAAAGTCACTTAACTAAAAATGTCAAAGCCAGATTTGAATCCATAGTCTGTGGCCTTTCTCACAATCATTAGGTTATGTTATCTGAGGATAGGACTTCTGTCTTAGTCTCATTCATATCCACAGTGCTTAGCACAAGACCAAAACACAAGAAATACTCAGCAAATGTCTACTGAATAAGTAAATAAGTTATGAATCAGTGAACGAATGTGTGAATGAAGTAACTGATGAATGAATAAATTAATGTAATGAAGGAATATAAGAGCAGGTGAATAGATGGATAAGAGACGAATGAATGGAGGGAAAGAGGGAAGAAGGGCAAGAGGGAGGGATGAATGGAAAATAGATAAATCTTCGGGCAGATAGATAGTTAAATGGAGGAAAGAATGAATCCCTGAATGGCTAAATACAGTAATAAATAAATGAGTTGAATAACTGGTGAATAAAGCTCAACTTTGTAATAACTTCAGCTTTCTAAGTTGATAAGGGAGGTGGCCTATGGTTCCATAATTAGGGTACATAAGGAGAGTTGGTCTATGAAGCTCTATGTTATAGCTTATGATGGTTGCATCCAGATCTAAAAACAACACTCACTGAGGTAGGAAATAAAAAGTAACAAATGAGCTCCTTTTCTCTTCCAAGGCTAACAAATGAAGCTCAGAGTGACTATCTCTTGCATCTTCAGAAGTTTGAATGCAGTGACTCCAATATACTCTACAAAGGAGTGATAATTGCACTATTTTTAAAAGGCTAGCTGGATCTATTAATAAAAAGTATATATTAAATATATATCGGCATATATATCTCAGTATGCATATTTCAGTGTGTATGTGTCTATATATCAGATATACTAATCTAATATTTAAAGAGAAGAAAGGATACAAGAGGTAAAAGACCACTAGGCAGAGATCCCTGTCCCAACCATCCTTGATAACTTGATCGGTGCTCTTGAGTAAACACTCTTCTCTCTCTGAGCTGCAGATTCCTAATCAGCAGAAGGAATGGTTTTAAATTTCTGGTCTCTCTGGGCACTTCAGCACTCACCTGGTGTGATTCTGTGATCCATTGTGGCATACTTCTCAAATGGACACTTCTAAACCTTAGAATCTCAAGTTGCACATATAGGCTAGCTAACAAAACATTTGGCTGGCCTGCACAGAATAACTCATGCCATTCCTCTTAGGCTTAAAATCATCCTGTCTGCTTCATGGTCCCCACACACCCAACACATCTTACTTGTAGAGACCGTCAGGCTCCAGACACTTGAAGATGACCGAGTAGATACTGACTTCAGGGATCTCTCCATGGCTTCGACCAGCTGCTACACAAGATGTGCCCAGGCCAGAGAGTAAGTCATCAGCAAAACTCAGGAATTCTCCTGGAGGGAGAAAAAGAAAGATGAACTCCCCAGCTCAGGCCATAGTGAGCACATGTTTTTGCTGTCATTCAAACCTATCAAATGTCTGGATACCATTATCAAGAAAAATAATGGATAGAAAAAGCAAAATATATGACAATGACACAGATTTGTATTTAGCCTTGATGACTCTTTGTTCATATTTATGCACAATTTTTTCATCCATCAAGTGGAAATACTAATGCCTACCTTTATAAGATTGTAGCAAGGCTCAAATGAGGTAAATTATTGTGTAATAAAAATGCATGAAAAGGTAGCAAGGATATTATGCTTTTTTTTTTTCTGTAACTACTATGGCCTTGTCACTGCCATTCACTCCCTCTTAACTCCTTGAGCAAGACTCCTCTTTCTTAGAATTGCATTTTCCTTCTTTGTATAATGAAGGAACTGGACTAAAGATGTAAAATAATTTTCATGCCAATTTGCCAATATTGTGCATGGGTACTGGATTCATGGAGTGTTATACTGAGATGGACAGAGACCAGCTAAGGAGGAAAGAGTTCTGTGATTGATTAGTGATGAAGGTCATGGAACCTTCATCGTGTACCGGATGTACATGATGTCACGGAACCTTCACCATGTACAGGATGGAACAATGGGAGACTATGTGCCACATATTTGTAATCCTCAAACTCCATCACTTCTTTAATTTACATTAAATCTAACCATTGGGTTTTAAGTAGTAGTGGAAGTTTACTAGAAACAGGACTAATAAAGAAGTCTAGGAAGTAAAGAAAACTAGAAAGAATAACTGAACATCTAGACTCTTGGGATCTAGTCTTAGTTCTGCTGAGAATTTGCTGTATAGTCATGGACAACTAAATCCTCATTTTTTGTGCTTTAGTTTTCTCCTCTGCATGGTGAAGGTGCTAGAATCATTATTAGGATTCCTGAAAAAATAAAATAAAAATATAGATATGAACAAAAATTAAGTTATAAGGACAAACACTGCAGTACTATTTATACTAGCAAGAATGTGGAAACAGCTAAATGTCCAACTATATAGAAATGGCTATATCAATTGAGTTCAGTGATGCAATAGGCTATTTTATAGTCATTAAAAATAATTTGTGGAAGAATATCAAAGGGTATTTATGACATAATGTGAAGTTAAAAAAACAGGTTACACTATTACAAAGTAATCTCATTTTTGTAGAAATTTTATATGCACATACATTTAAAAACATAAGGAAGAAAAAAACAAAAGTTTAAGAATGACTCTGCAGAGTGACATATGGGCACTTTTTCTATCTTATTTTTGTTTATCTCTATTTTAAAAATTATCTTCAATAAACATACATTGCTTTTGTAACCCATAAAAATATCAATAAAAATTACTTTAAAATAGATAAAGTAAATGGGCCAGACTAAATGGCCTCTAAGTTCCCCTCCAATTCTAAAATTGGATGATCTAGGAAAAAAACTGACATATGAGGTATTTTTGTACCACACAGTATAAAATGATATGAGGCCTCTCAACTGTTGTTTTCTTCTTTTCTTCTTGCCTGATAGAGAGTTCCTCAGAGCTCTATTCATGTACAACCCCAGTAATAAACCAGAAAAGGATGTCAGCTCCATTACATCCTCTCTACCTGGGATTAAGAACAAGACAATGTCATGAAACCATAAAACAACAATAGTGTTGGCTCGTGTTTCAGAAGACTAGGACTCACAGCAGCCTGGGGGTGCTTCTCTACCAAGGAACTGATTGAGCAGAATATACGGATCACTTCCCGTTGGTCTTTCAAACGAAAGTTTCATTCTTTATTTATTTATTTTCTTTTTCTTTTTCTTTTTTTTTTGAGACAGGGTCTCATTCTGTTGCCAAGTCTGGAGTGTAGTGGTGCAACCTCGGCTCATTGGAGCCTCTGCCCCACAGGCTGAAGAGGTCCTCCCACCTCAGCTTCCCAAATAGCTGGGACTATAGGCATGCACCACCACACCAGCTGACTTTTGTATTCTTTGTAGAGATGGAGTCTTACCCTGTTGCCCAGGCTGGTCTCAAACTCCTGAGCCTTGGCCTCCCAAAGTGCAGAGATTATAGGCATGAGCCACTGTGCCTGGCCCAAAAGTTTCATTCTTAAAGAAAAACAGTTTTAAAAAGAAGAGTTTCTTTCTTCCTCTTACAAGTGAATCTTGCAAGACTTATCTGACTGAATTGGCCAGATGGACCTGGGATTCAGCCGAACAACAATTCTAGAAGGTATTTGCTCCTATAGTCCAATAGAACAGGTCTGATGGGTAATGTTTTTCGGTTTCCATTTTTCACAAAGATAATATATGGTTCATAGACTTGACATGTGGATGCTAGATTTAGGATCAAGTGTCTAAATCAGGGTAGTGTTGGCAACAGGCAATTTCAGCTGCTACTGCAAGACAGACCTGAGACTGAGTACTATTTCCACCATGGGTTGCACGTCCTTAAACTTCTCAATGTCTCCATTTTTCTTTTTGTTACAAGGAGTTGACAACACTCTCATGCATTTGGAGTCTACAAAGTAAAGCCAAGGGTCTAGAAAGAGACAAAGATGCCTAGAACCAGAGATTTGTCTGGAAAATGAAGACATGAATGAATCTTTTATTCAGCACAAATTTTGGCATCCCACACTTCTTCTGTAGGCTTCTTATATCAGGTTCTTTCACAGTACAACCAGAAACTAACAATACGTCCATTTCAAAAAATATCACAAATTCCAGAGCAATGTATGTGATAAAAAGTTAAAAAAAAAAAAAAAAAAAAAAAAAAAAGGCAGGGGAGCGAGAAGACATGGGATTATTTGCTAGATGGAGTGAGGGTCTTATTTCATTTGGTTTCTCAGGATTCCAAGTCTGGCTACATGTGTTTGTTTTCTTTGAGCTTGGATCCATGTCTGTCTGCTTTTCAATTTGTTTCCAGATAGCCAATGAGAGAGTCAGATCTTCATGAGTGTATTCGTCATTCTCATAGTTCATAGCAATTCTTCATAGTTCTATGAAGAAATACTTGAGACTGGGTAACTCATAAAGAAAAGAGGTTTAATTGACTCACAGTTCTGCATGGCCTGAGGGGCCTCAGGAAACTTACAATCATGGCGGAAGGCACCTCTTCACAGGGTGGCAGGAGAGAGAATGAGTGCCCAGGGAAGGGGGAAAAAGCCCCATATAAAATCATCAGATCTCATGAGAGCTCACTTACTATCATGAGAACAGCATGGGGGAAGTGCCCCCATAATCTAATCAACTCCTACGAGGTCCCTCCCAGGACACATGGGGATTATGGGAACTACAATTCAAGATGAGATTTGGGTGAGGCTACAGCCAAACCATATCAATGAAGGAATTCAGTATGTTTGTGGCTTGTGTTAATTACCTGTCTTTAGATGAAAAGATGGTTGACATTCATTTTCAAATGGGAATAGCTTTCCAGATATTTCCATGAATTTCAGAATAATTTGGACCATGGATACAAGCCCCATAAACATGTCAGGTCAATAAGATTGGCATGATTCTATGTTCTGAAAAATTCTAAGGTTTGCAGGTTTAATTCAAGTGAAGGAACTGGCTCACCTGTAGTATATGCAGTATAACTAATCATACCAAGATCATTATAAGGATATTTAGTGCTCAGTTCTAGTCACAACTGTATGAATAATCATCTCCAAATGAAAAAGTTAAAAGGAAGGCAACTGACATCTAGCACATACTTTTCTTTTTTCCATTTAATCCTCACAGCAATCTAACAAGTTAGATTTTATCATCCCAATGGTAAAGCTGAGGTTAATGTTGCAGTTAAAAAGGAAGAGAGCTGAGATTAGAACCCTTATTTTTTCAGTTCCAAAGACATATCTTTTCTTTTATACTATGCTGCCTCCTAGAGAAAGTTTGAAAATGATAGTATCAGAAAGGGAGGTTTCTCAATGCTATTCAATTTGCAATTGAATTCCTGCCACTCTCTTAGCTTGAGGAATGAGACAATAAAAGAAATGGTCCCTGACCTTCTACAGCTTGTAATCTGACAACAGGAAGGGTTGTTAAATACAAGAACAAACCTATAAAGTAAATTGTAAGATTGCTTTTTTTGGCACTGGATTTCAGAAGGTTTAAATGCAACTTAGATGAAGACAGGTGAATGAAGTAATCCCCCAGTGTTCTTCCTCACCCAGTGGAGGGGGTACTAAGAAAGGCCTGGGGGCTTCTCTATGCACAAATGTAAATCAATGCAATTCAACACATGTATTGTGGTTCCACAATATAACATACTCTGCATCTGGCAACCATACAACTGAATGAGCAATAATATACAGAGCAGTGGTGAAGAGCCTGGGCTTTACGTTTACTCTGCCTAGGATTAAATCCTAGTACTCCTTCACTTACTGCTTGTCTTGGACAAGCTCCTTAACTCTGTACATCTATATTCTTATATGCAAAATGAGGAGAATCATAGTATCTAACTTACAGAGTTGCAAACATCATATAAAATACTGTATCCTGGAAAACAGTAAGAGCTTAAAATGTGTATTAACTATCACTGCTTTTGTTTTTCTTATTCTTTTTTTATTTTTCTTTTTTGAGAAAGAGTCTTTCTCTGTTACCCAAGCTGGCGTGCAATGGCATGATCTCGGCTCACTGCAACTTCCACCTCCCGGGTTCAAGCAATTTTCCCACCTCAGCCTCCCAAGTAGCTGGGATTATAGGCGCCCACCACCATGCCTGGCTAATTTTTATATTTTTAGTAGAGACAGGGTTTCACCATGTTGGCCATTCTGGTCTTGAACTGACCTCAGGTGATCTGCCCGCCTCAGCGTCCCAAAGTGCTGGGATTACAGGCATGAGCCACCATGAACAGCCTTGTTTTTCTTATTCTTGTTTTCAACATAACAGAGTAGAGATAAGGACTCTTAAAGATATATTTTTATCCAAGCTTCTGCTTTTACAGGTGACAAAACTGAAGCTCAGAGAAGGAATGTGACAGGTCCATGCCC